AGTATAGTAGATGGTATTTTAAACATGCTTAAATATATTCTTTCTTAAAAAATAATTACTCATGTTAGAATTGACCCAGTTCTAACATCTCATATCCTGCTTCACTACAATCTATATTTTACACGATCATAGTAGCAATGTGTAAACAGTAAAAAGGAATTGAGATATAAACATGTATCTGCAATTTTGTATTTAACTCGACTTTAAGTCTAAATTTTCTATTCCGCTGCAACGTTCAAAAAAGGAAATTTACTAATTTCAATCCTTACAAAGTTGTCATTACTTACTGTAAGCTATCGCTATAATGTTACATAATATAGTTCAGTCCTTGTTACAAAACAATTTCTTTCCCTTAATTGATCTCACAGTATTTTTGTTAGATTAGACTATACTTTTGTCTTCATGACATGAATTATTAAAACATCTATATCAGTTTTATTACATTTACTAATACTATTTATAAAATAAATGTTCCCATATGTTACCGTAATGTAATTCACAAGTTCACATTATATTTTAACATTTATCGAGGCTCGACAGAATTAATAGCCTTCGCTTGCAGGTTTTAAATAGAAATTTTGAAATTGTATATGCTTCAATTTCATAACTACATCACTATTTTTTTATACTTTACAAGTTATGAATGTACAGTACATTTATAATAATATTAAGAAAATAAACATTCGAAAGTAATGCTTAAGTTTACTCACGCTGAAGTGCATATTTTCGAACCTTATTAACTTTGCTTTCGATTCAAGAAATGAGCCCTCCATCGCCAATACCATGCCATTTCAAGTTGATTAAAACCAGTACTAAAAAATGACAGTACAACAAAGAAAGTTGAAAGAGTGAATGCCCACAATTGAAACAAGGGTGAAATAATGAGCAACAAGACTGTAGCACCTGAAATTAATAAGATTTTTGAATACAGGTATTAGCAAAAAATTAATGAAATTTAAGACTTTACCTATTAAAGTACTCCAAAAGCATAATGCAACTTGTAATGGATATACGTTTGTTAAGGGCCAAATTTCGGTAGAAAAGCTTTTCTTTTCGTAAAATCGTTCTAACACTTCTTCTTTTTTGTACCATCTTCGTTCTAACCATTGTCTTAATGGTGCATCATCCGTTGGCATGTCAGACGATGATATCCTTTTAATGTGAAAATGTACCTCATGCGGCAATTTGCCTTTAATTAAGTCTAGCTCTGACTGCGGAACATAGTCAGGATATCCGATTGTTAAATCATAAACAGCGTCAAGGTAATTCGCTTGCTGGAGATGATGAACTAAATAACTGAATCCTGTTGTTTTCGGATGGAGCGTAAAAGAATATTGTGGCAATCCATGTTTCGCAGCATATTTATCTGATTTCTCCTTGCTACTTTTCGTTAAATCTGTACCTTCCGGGAATATTAATAATTGAGAACGTCTGTCCAACGATACTAAATAGTTAAGGGTATGCGACAATCGACTTTGATCTTCTTCCCATCGTCGTGTTATATAAAGGAAACCGTTCATTTGCATTATCCACCCTGTTACATAATATTTCTTTCAAATTCTGTTACACTTTAAAACTATAGAATAAAAATATCGACGTTAATATTTTAAAATCAAATTTGAAAGTAACTTAAAATGTTTTTAAAGAAACTTTATTTCAATGAACTTCTGTTTTTGATATACCTTTTACTACGCTATATTACCTGGTCCTGGAATGTGCCGTATGGGATCCTTTAAAACAAACTTTAATCTGTGAGCTGCTATGCCAGGCAAGCATGCTTGGTACATCGCTGCCCATAGGAAATTCCAATCTACCCTGGTTCTATGGTTCATTACAAGTATAGCAGATTCATCCGGAGATATATGATCTCCAGATACGAGAATTTTTACTCCGAAAACTTTTAGAAGAGCCTAAAACATACAGAATGTTGTAATGCAGTGATTATAGTTGAAAGAAATATAATATAGTACATTTTTACAAACAAAATTAATGAAGAACAAAAAAAAATGAAATTCAATCTACTTACTGTAGAATAAAGTTCCCAACAAGAAAATAAGAAGTCATTGAATTTTCGAAATTTCAAAGGGCTGAAAAGTAACAATGGTATCATAGGACAAGCAATAAATAAAAATCCAGCCACTACACTGCCATACCACAGTGCACAGTACAAAGTACCACGTAAAAGTCCACGCATCACAAAATATGTACAAGATATCTGAAAAAAGCAATAAAATGCATGTTCATTTCATTACATGTACACAGATACATGAATCCATATTTTACTATTACATTAGTATACACTTTCTTAATAAATAATTTGTTTATAATTATAAATTTTTAACAAATAATTACAACAATATTTGTAATATCATTTTAGTAAACAAATAGATTAATTTATACGGGATTTTATTTTATAACAATAAAATGTTTTTCACAAACATAAGTATTTACATAGAAAGAAAACTTGTAATTTTATCTGATAAATAATTTTATAAATATTCTATATTTATTGTAGTGAGAAAAAAAAGGAAAACTGTGTCACTTTTCAATAATAATTTAAATTAAATTGAAAACTAAAGTATAGAGATGTAATTGTATATATTAAATAATAGAATTACCTTATCATGTATGTGCTGTAAATGAACCACTCTTTACAAGCCTTCAGCAGTAACTATTTCTTTCTGAAATGTTTTCTCTGGCTTCCCCTGTATCTTACTAGAAGGGCTTCTATCTGCTTCACCCCTTCTACCCCATTTTCCACCCAGTATACACTGAGTTCTGGGATGCTGTGAGGACCATTATTGATCTGTTAAAACAGGGAGAAAATTTATAATCATCTGTAACATGTTATTTTTCTCTTTTATAATTTTATTAAAAAATTTACAACAATTACCTTTATGTTATTGCGTGAAAAAGATATGCATTATTATTTTAAAACATCAATGATTACTGTCATGTTATTCGGTTTCGTATAATAATATTAAAAACAATAATTAGGAATGTAATTTTTTAATAACATACTGCTCAAAGATAAAAGTAACAATAACGATTGTGAC